TGGGAATATTGTATCTAGCTGGCACTGTAAACAATTACTCCCATGGGAATACACCAGGAGACCCCACATATAATTAAATATGATCTGGGGTCTAGGGCAAGGCACAGTGCCTCATGCCTGTAATCCTAGCTACTCAGGAGGCAGAGATCAGGAAGATTTCAGTTTGAGGCAAGCCTGAGCAAAAAGGTCATGAGTCCCCATCTTAACCAATAAAAGCCAGACATGGTGGCATGGACTTGGCAGTGCAGCTCTGCAGGAAGTATAAATAGGAAGATTGGGGTCCAGGCTGGCATGAGCATAAAGTGAGGCCCTATCTCAAAAAGCTCTGGGGATATGATGCAGAGTTGCCTAGCAAACATGAGACCCTGAGTTTAAGCCTCAGTAGTGAGCCCTGCCAAAAAAGAAAAAAAGACCACAAAGAACAGATACCCATGTCACAGGACCCTCTGATCATAGACCAGCCCGGACCCTTTGTCTCCAAACTTGAGTGACTGTATGAAAAGAGGATGATTGCAAGGTTACTAGGTAAACATACATCCAGGCAACCAGCTCTGAACTGGAACCTTCAGTCCAAGAAGAGGACACAGCATTACAACATTGTTTTTGGCAGTACTTGGGTTTGAACTCTGTGCCTCATGCTGGCTAACCAGGTGCTCTACCACTTGACCCACCCCACCAGTCCTTTTTTGCATTGGGTATTTTTGAGATAGGGTCCTAAGAACTCTTTGCCAGGCTGGCTTTGAACAGCAATCCTGATCTCTGTCTCCTGAATAGCTAGGATTACAGATGGGAGCCACAGGTCCCAGCAAGGACATAAACATCTTGGGATGAAGTCACCCACTGAACTGTCTGCTCCCCCTGCCTGACAGTCTTGTCAGAAGTGTGATCAGAGTGTTCTCCCTCTTCTAGCAGGGAAATCTCATCTTTTCCAAACACCCTCCTGTTGACAAAGTGAAATCACGGATAAGGGGTGCCACTTTCATGATTGCTTTGTGAAAGGAATACAAAATTTGGTTTTTTAGAGAATAAAGACTGAAAAGAAGGAGGCTTGAGCCCTGGGGAAGGCAGAGAATACAGGAGAGAGGGAGGCTAGGATAAGAGAGAGATTCCAGGTGAGAGCTTGGCCAGCATCTTGGTCCAAGGAGAGTAAGGGAGGAGCCTGGCTTGGGAGCCTGTGCTGTCATTAAAGCCAGGCAAGCCAGAGGAGAAGCAGGTTTTGGTAAAATAAAAATGGCCTCAGCCGGGCATGGTGATTCACACCTGCAATCCCAGCACTGGGGAGCCTGAGGCAGGAGGTTCCTGAGTTCCAGGACAGCCTGGGATACTTAGCAAGACTCTGGCTCAACAAACAAACACACAATAAACAGCTCAAGTCATTGAGCACCAGTCCGTGCAGGACACTAGGCTACCCAATTTTTTTACTGGGTACCACTGGATGGTCACCCCAGACTAAAGATGAGGCTTTACAACCAAGGATCTCCATTGCACAGAATAGCAACTGGGGCTGGAGGAGGGGACGCAGCTGTCACAGGGCATCCTGCACAGCTGGAATCCCAACCTCCTGCTCTCTGTGCCTGCTGAGTGGCCATGAGGGGTGGAAGGAAGAAACCATTGCTACAGGGCATGTTGATGGCCACGGCAAGGTCAAGGTTATTGGCCAGTTAATGAGTAATGAGGTGGGAGAAGGCACTGCTTGGCTGTGGATCCTGGAGGGAAATTCCCAGAAAGCACTGAAGCAGGCACCCAGCCCAGAACTGAAATACCCCACAGGGATGACCAAACCCAGGCAGCTGTGGAGTGGGGTGCCTGGGACCCCCACCCAGGCATAATTCCCATCCTGTCTCCTAATTCTCTCCTTACACTTCAGCTAGGGTGCTGCACAAAATACAGGATTAAGAAAGTGTGGTATATAGACACTGTGGAGTCATAAAGAAGAATGAAATTATGTCATTTGCAGGAAAATGGATGACAGTGGAGATCGTGTTAAGTGAAATAAGCAGACTCAGAAAGACAGGTGTCACATGTTTTCACTCACAGGAGAATCTAGATTAAAAACATTTTAAAAGACATGAAAACAGAAGGGGGATTAATTGCTAGGAGCAGGGACCAGCAGAAGGGAGGGGACACTAGAGGGAACTGGGCAATGAAGATGATCAAAGTCCATAGTACACATGTATGAAAATGTCTTCTTGAGAGTCATGATTTTGTGTCCTGAATTTTTAGGGTGGTGGTCTTAGGGATTAAACTTGGTTTTGCACTTGCTAGGCAGGTGCTCTACCATATGAGCCATGCCTCCAGCTCTTTTTACTCTGGTTATCTTCAAGATAGGGTCTCACTTTTTGCCCAGACTGGCAAAATGAAATCCTCTTATTTATGTTTTTCCACAGTAGCTGAAATGACAGGCATGTGTCACCATGCCTAGCTTTTTCTGTTGAGATGTGTTTTCATAAATTTTTACCCAGGCTGACCTTGAACCACGTTCCTCCTGATCTCAGTCTCCAAAGCAGCTGCACCAGCTGTGCAACAAATTTTTAAAGACAGCTTTGATTTTAAAAAATACAATACTTCAGATGAATTACAGCCTCAGCTACTCAAGTCCCTTATATAAAATGGTGAGTATTTGCACACAACCAGGGAACACCCTCCCTGAGACTAAATCATCTCTGAATACTGAACACAATCCAAACACTGTGTAAATAGTGCTATACTGTGTTGTTTAGGGAATCTAGACAAGAAAAAATGTCCCTAAGTTGTCAGTGCAGACATCATTTTTTCTGAATATTTTCAATCTGAGGTGACTGAATCTACAGATGCAGAGCCCACAGTCACAGACAGACAGACAAGTTTACTTTTCTTTTTTTTTAATATATGTATCTTTCAGATATCTTATCCCAGAAACTGTCAGTCTGGGCAGCCTTGTGTCCTCCCTGCCCTTGATCCTAGGCTGCGTGGGCCCGCAGACTGGAAATCCACCCCCCAGACCTCTTTGCTCTGTCCCCTACTGGCTCAGCGTATCCCCCATTCCACCAGGGAGAAGTCATGGGGCTGAAGAATTCCCACACTCACCTCCCTCCTTCCCAGTGGGCTGTGGTCCACCTCTGGCCTAGGATTCCCTCCCAGTCCCCTCGCCTCTGCTCACTTCCTGGAGGTGAGGACAGTCCCAGCACCTGTCTGTCACAGTCACCCTCACCATGCTGAGCGTCCATCCTTCCCTCTCAGTCATGGGCTCCTGTTACTGTCCCAATGCCACACTTGTCATCTGTCCCTTTGCTCAGATGGCCTGCCTAAGAGTCCAGGGAGGAGAAAGCAAATCTTGCAGCAAGCCCAAGGCCACACAGGAATTCCTCCTCTGTGCAGTCAAACCACAAAGCCTCTGGGCTTGGGGCTCGAAGGAAACCAGGAACCCTTGGTAAGGGGGAGGCAGGAGAAACAGAGGAAGTCATGGGGCGCACTTGGGAGATCCAGTTTGAAAGTTGGACCTAGTTTTGGAAACCAGCAAACTTTTGCATCCTCCCTCCTCCTCCACTTCCAGAGAAAGGGTGTTGCAATCAAGCAGAGGGTTGCCAGGTTTGTTCTAGTTCCCCAGCCTCCCCAGCCCAGTGAGAGGGCAGGGTTTACAGGAAGTCCAGCAAATTCCCAGTTAACCCCTTTGCTGGGGCTGGAAGCCACCTGACCAAGAACCAGAATCCACCATTCCCGTTACCCATCCTCATCCTGTGTTCAGACAACAAGGTAACTGAGAATCAGAGAAGTGCAAATGGATGTGACTCTAGGGTTCCACCTGTCATCACCCCTGAGACTGGCAGAAGTCCAAAAGTCAGCCAGGGTCCAGCATGTCCCGGAATCCAGGCCTCGGGGAGATTGGCAATTAATGTCCTGCAAGGTGTGTGCACACATCAGTAGAACGCCCAGAGAGGGTGGATTTGGCAGTGCCTAGCAAGATTACTAATGTGTGTGGACATGAGCCAGAATTCTCTCCGTTCATTGAAACAACCCATTTTTCAGGAGGAAACTGAGGCTCAGGGTGCTTAGTAGTGCTTTGTCCAAAGATCACAGCTGGTAAGTATCAAAGCTAGACAAAGAAGGCTGGAGAAATTTCACTGCAACCTCCAAAGTCTGTCTGTCCAGTGCAGTTTCTGTGCACTCATAAGAATCCCTGAGGTACATTGTTCATGAAAAAGCAAGAGACCGGCCAGGAAGCATAGTATGTAAAGTGTGTTAATATGTATTTAAAAAATATATATATATGTTAGAAACACTTTCAGATGTTGAACCATGTGAATATATTACCTATATCCCTCCCCGCACCGCACACAAAATCAACACAGCTTAAAGCAATAAATAGTATCATAGTCACTCAGGCATCCTGACAAAGGGGAGTGAATGGAGCTTCAGAACCCTCTTTTAATTATTATTATTTTTTGTGGTATTGGGTTTTGAACTCAGGGCCTCACACCATTTGAGTCACTCCACCAGCCATGGAACCACTTATTCTACAAAACACCTGGTTAGTGAACACCTCTGCATACTTCAAAGCCTAGATGCAATGTCCCCTCCAAGAAGCAGAATTCTTTCCATTGAGGAAAACACTCCCTATGGGCTGGGAATGTCTATGCTGTGCCCTGACTCTTCTTCTTGCTCCTCTTGCCTCAGCATGGAAGCCTCAGGAAGTGGGCTGGAGCCCTCAGCATAAAGACGGACTCATAGAAAAGGTCTGATTAATCAAAACACAAGCAGGGGACAGTGATGTGCACTTGTGGCTTCAGCTACTGGGAGAATCTATTGAGCTGCCCCAGCCCATCAGCTGGCCTTGACCCTGAGAGAGGCCAGGACACAGGGCAGTTGCTTTCAGGTTGGAGGGGAACATGCTGGCAGGTTGACCTCCAGCTTTGAAAGCTTAGGAAATGGTATTGAGAAATCTCAGGCAGCCCCAGGAGGGGGCAGGGCCCCAGGGCAAAGGGAGGGAGTAGGGGAGAGGCAGGGGCCAGATAAGAGGCCACTTCCAGCAGCCCTGGCTCACTCCTGCCCACCCTCTCATCTGTTCCTCTCACCCTCTGTCCCTCCACTGTCCTGCATCATGGGGACTGCCTCAGGCCCCCACCTGCTGCTCTTGCTGCTGGCCAGCCTCTCCCTGGCCCTGGGGGATCCCATGTGAGTGACCGATGTTTAGGGTGGCCACTTGGAGGATTACAGACTTAGCCCTTTGGTTCACTAAGGTTGGGGTGTGTGGCTTTGCTCATATTTACAGGACTGGGGTGTTAGAGGTTTGAGTGTAGGTTTGGAGTGTTCTGAGATTTGGGGCTTATATGTTCAGGTGCTTGTGGGTTTGGTATGCATAGTTTGGGCTGGCTCAGGGCTTGGGTGTTTGTATATCTGGGATGTTTAGAGAACACAGTGGTTTAGGGCTTTGCTTGTTTGTGGATATAGGAGATTTTGTGGGTTTGGAAGGCAAGGATGTGGAAGGGCTGCTGATTTTGGTTTTGAGGATCAGAGGTTGGTGGCATCTGTAGCCCGCCCCTCTTTGTCCAGCCTTTCCAAGGGAGCATGGGACATGATGGCTGTTGTTCTTCCCATGTGGGCAGTACCCAGGGAGGAACACGGTTCCAGATATGAGCACTGGCAGTGCCCCAGGTGGTCACTGGATCTCCTCCAGGACCAGGGATGGGGTGAAGTGCTGGGCAGCAGAGGGGCCGCCGGGCATGTCAGGATGTCAGCTCTGCTCTGGGCGCCATCTCCCACAGGTACTCCATGATCTGCCCCAATATCCTGCGGCTGGAGAATGAGGAGACCATAGTGCTGGAGGCCCACGAAGTGCAAGACAACGTTGCAGTCACAGTCACTGTCCACGACTTCCCGGCCAAGAAGCAAGTGCTATCCAGTGAGAAGACTGTGCTGTCCAGCGCCACAGGACACTTGGGCAATGTCACCATCAAGGTGAGTGCAGACTGGAGCTGGGCTATGCTGACACTCACAGTCCCTCCCACTCTTTGTACCCTCTAGGTCGCCCCCTGCGTCCTCCTTCCAAGCCCCTTCCTCTTATGCGCCTCCAGCCTCTTCTGAGCCGCTAGAGTCTCTGGGCATCAAGCCTCCCGTTCTAAACACCACAAATGTCAGTCTCCTCCTCTTCAGAGCCTTCTCCTCTCTCTGTCTTCATCCCTTCTCTGCCCCTCCCCTTTCCCAGTCTCCACCTCTTCTAAGCCCCTCCCCTTTCCCAGTCTCTGCCTCTTCTAAGGCCTGCACCTCTCTCAGTCTCCACCTCTTCCGAGCCCCTCCCCTATCTGTCCCCCATTCTTTGTCCCTCCCATTGATCCCCTCCTTCTCTTAAGCCCTCTTTCTTTTGAGCCTGTCCCGGTTCTGAGCCTGATCGTTTCTGTGTCCCCTCTCTGATTCCTTTACTCTGCAGGTGCCCCTCCCTTGCCCCCACACTGGGCAAACCAGGGAAGTGCAGGCTCCGTTGTGAGGAGGAGCAGGCCAGGCCAGCAGAGGCCCAGAAACTGGGTTCTGGGTATTGGGTCCTGGAGCAGACCCCTAACAATCCCCTGGTCCATGCCACCTAGATCCCTGCCAGCAATGAGTTCCGATCAGGCAAAGGGCGCAAGTTCGTGACAGTGCAGGCAAACTTCGGGGCTACGCAGGTGGAGAAAGTGGTGCTGGTCAGCCTTCAGAGCGGGTACCTCTTCATCCAGACAGACAAGACCATCTACACCCCAGGCTCCACAGGTAAGGACTGTGGTGGCCCAAGAGGGCCAGGCAGGGGGTGTGAGGCTGGGTCTCACCACGCTCCTCCTGTCTCCCCACCACCTTCCAGTCCTCTATCGGATCTTCACCGTTGACCACAAGCTGCTGCCCGTGGGCCGGACTGTTACCGTCACCATTGAGGTATCAGCCAGCTGGGGCTCAGAGACCTCAGGAGAGAGACAGAAAGAGACCCTGAAAGAGTGGCCCAGAGACAAAGGGATATGCAGGACATACTCAGAGAGAAGCCTACAGGCAAAAGAGACACACAAGGGTCCCTGCATGTACCCCTGGATCCTGGTCCCAAATAAACCCAGGGCCACTTCACCTCTGTGAGCCTCAGTTTCCTCAGTTGAAGAGAGGGATGATGACAGATGATAAATCTATGTAATCTTTTCTGCCTACACCAGCTAGAGGGCACCTGTGAACACCTGAGTCTCTCCTTTTTCCCAAGCCCTCCATGATTGCCATCTCCCTCTGTTACAGCTCAAGCCCTCCCTGCAGCCCCCAAAACCTGACCGTGAGCAATGAATGACTCAGGCTTCAGTCTAACCAAATGCTCAACATGGGGTCCAGTCCAAAAGTGGGAAGTAAATGCTCGTTATTAGTACTATTTGGAGTCAAGGATACTAATGAGCTTCTGTTATATGAACTATAACCCAAGCCAGTGAGGCAGAGCCCTTTACTATTTCCTTTTGCTCTTGTTCGCTTTTTTTTTTTTTTAGTGGTACTGGGGTTTGAACTCAGGGTTTCTCACTTGCTAGGAAAGAGCTCTACCACTGAGAGCTATGCCCTCCATCCTTTTTGCTTTTAGACTATTTTTCAGATAGGGTCTCTTGCTTTTTGCTCAGGGTCAGCCTTAGACTACAATCCTCTTACCTCTGCTGCCCTTATAACTGGGATTACAAGCATTCAACACTATCCTTGCTTGTTTATTGAGATAGGGTCTTGATAACTTTTTCTCACCTGGGCTGGCCTTGCACTGCAATCCTCCCAAACTCTGCCTCCTGAGTAGCCAGGATAATAGACAGAAGTCACTGCTCCTGGGCCATTAGGTCCTTTTTCTAGAAACACAAGGAGCATGGAGAAGTAAATTGCCCAAGGTCACACAGATTATAAGTGGCAAAGTAGGGATTTGAACTTAGGCTGACTGACTTAGATCCATATTCTTAACTGCTGCTCCTACAGACATGGTGGAGGGAGACAGGGTAGATGGAAAAGTTGGGAAGAGCTGGGGGGTGGAAAATCTGGCCTCAGAAGATCCACATAATCTCACATCCCTTTCTGTCCCCTTACAGACCCCAGAAGGCATCCCCATCAAGCGAGACACTCTGTCTTTTTACAAGTATGGCATCTTGCCCCTGTCTTGGAACATCCCCAAACTGGTCAAGTATGTCAGGGTCTCCAGGAGGGAGCTTGGGGCCCCCAGTCCTGGGAGACTGGGGGAGGGGGCGACTTCGGGTTATGGCCACACTGTCTTGCCTTCCCATAGCATGGGGCAGTGGAAGATCCGAGCCTACTACGAACACTCCCCGCAGCAGGTCTTCTCTGCTGAGTTTGAGGTGAAGGAGTATGGTAAGCGGTGGAGGAGGGATGGGGTGGTAGGAGCCAGGACGCCAAGCTCTGTGCCGGCCCTGCCAATGTGGTCTCTCCCCCAGTGCTGCCCAGTTTCGAGGTCTTAGTGGAGCCCGCTGAGAAATTCTACTACATTGATGACCCAAAGGGCCTGGAAGTCAGGATCATTGCCAGGTAAGGGGCAAGGTGGGGCCAGGGGAGGGACCAGGGATGGAACCAGGACTGTGGGTCTTCAGAGAGCCTCGCCTTCTAGGAATGGAGAACCTGGAGTCTCCTTTTGCCTCCTGTAGGTTCTTATATAGGAAGAATGTGGATGGAACAGCCTTTGTCATCTTTGGGGTCCAAGATGGCGACCAAAGGATTTCTCTGGCCCAGTCCCTCACCCGCATTGTGGTACCTGATAGAGGCCCCTTGGAGCCCCTCGCTCTAGCCCCTGCATCAGCCCCTCTAAAGTCCCTCCCCACTAAGAGACCTGCCCCTCTTTCACCCCTGACCTAGCGCCCTCCTCTTGGGAGACCCCCCACTCCAGCCTTCTGATCTCGCCCCACGCCTCAAAGAGCCCCGCCCCTTTCTGAGCTTCGTCCCTCCCCTCCCCCAGATCGAAGACGGTGTTGGGGAGGCCGTACTGAAACGACAGGTGCTACTGGAAGGGGTGCAGCCCTCCAGGGCTGATGCCCTGGTGGGGAAGTCCTTGTACGTGTCTGTCACTGTCATTTTGCACTCAGGTGAGCCCTCGACTCAGGGAAGAGGCCCTGTACAAAGACAGGGTCCAATCTGAGGGGAAAGGCCTGGTCCTGGAGGGTGCCCCAGGACCTCGCCCTCATGGTGGGTCCCCTCAGGCAGTGACATGGTGGAAGCAGAGTACAACGGAATCCCCATCGTGACCTCTCCATACCAGATCCACTTCACCAAGACACCCAAGTACTTCAAGCCAGCCATGCCCTTTGACCTCATGGTGAGACCCAGGGCAGGGCCCCCCTCTCTGCTCCTGGAGCACTGACCACGCAGTGGAGTCCTCCTGACCCTCCTCCACCTGACTCTGCACCACAGGTGTTTGTGACAAACCCCGACGGCTCCCCGGCCCGCCGTGTACCCGTGGTGACCCAGGGCAATGACGTGCAGTCTCTCACCCAAGACGATGGTGTGGCCAAACTAAGCATCAACACGCCCAACAGTCGGCAGCCCCTCACCATCACGGTGAGTCGTGGCTCTGCCTCAGGACCCTACCACCAGGAAGCGGGCACAGTGGAGCCCTGATGCTTGCACAAAAGGGTCCTACCATTGTCGTGTGGGGTCCTGTCATGGCAGCAAGGTCACTTCACCTGTGTCGAATGTTCTACCCTGTGCAAGGAGGGATCCTCCTCCTGCTTTTTCTTCTCTTTCTCTCTCTCTCTCAGAGAGACATACTTTTAGACATAGTTTCCTAAGTGCAGTCTTAATGCCATCTGCAAAATCCCATTGTCCATAGGAGGTCACAGGTCTCAGGGATTCAGACACAGGCATCTTTGGGGGACCAGCCTGCACCCCTCTTTCCTCACCCAGGTGCGCACCAAGAAGGAGGGGATCCCGGAGGCACGGCAAGCCACCAAGACGATGCAGGCCCAGCCCTACAGTACAATGCACAATTCCAACAACTACCTACATCTCTCTGTGCCTCGTGTCGAGCTCAAGCCAGGAGAGATCCTCAATGTCAACTTCCACCTGCGCACAGATGCTGGCCAGGAAGCCAAGATCCGTTACTACACCTACCTGGTCTGTGGCCACCTGCAGCTTCAACCCCTGTGCCCCACTTCCCCAGAGTCCCTGGGATCCTTCCCAGCACCCCCAGCATCCCTCCCAGTCCCAGGCCTCCCCATCCATCCTCTCTCCCCCCAGTCTTTTCTTTCTCCCTTTCTTCTACTGGGGTTTGGACTCAGGGCTTCAGGTTTGCAAAGCAGGTGCTCTACCGCTTGAGCCACACCTCCAGTCCATTTTGTTCTGGTTATTTTGGAGATGGGTCTCACAAACTATTTCCCAGTCTGCCCTCAAACCTCAATCCTCCCAATCTCAGCCTCCCAAGCTGTGTGAGCCACCAGCACTGAACCCCAGCCTGATTCTTCTGTCATCCTGTTTGTGCAGGTCATGAACAAGGGGAAGCTGCTGAAGGCAGGTCGCCAAGCTAGAGAGCCCGGCCAGGACCTGGTGGTCCTACCTTTGAGCATCACTTCGGATTTCATTCCTTCTTTCCGCCTGGTGGCTTATTACACGCTGATTGGTGCCAGTGGCCAGAGGGAGGTGGTGGCCGACTCTGTGTGGGTTGATGTGAAAGATTCTTGTGTGGGCACGGTGAGCATCCCTGGATCCTCCACAATCTGCCTCCTTTCCTTCCTTCCTCCCTCCCTCCCTCCACCTTTCTCTCCTTTCAGCCCAGCCTGGCCCTTCTCCTCCTCAGTGGCCCTAGGAGGACTGACTTCTCCTTCCTGCTTTTCCAACCTCCCACAGCTGGTGGTAAAAGGTGGCGGGAAAGATGATCGGCAGCCTCTACCTGGGCAGCAGATGACCCTCAAGATAGAGGGTGACTATGGGGCCCGCGTGGGGCTGGTGGCTGTGGACAAGGGCGTGTTTGTGCTGAACAAAAAGAATAAGCTGACTCAGAGTAAGGTATGAGCCTGCATCTGTGAGTTTGAGTAATAAGATGGCAGAACTGAAGGGAAGGGGTTAGGTTGGGTTGAAAGCAGAGGTTGAAATAGATGTAGCCAGGGCTGGGGTGTGGGTCCATGGTACGTGAGTGGTCCTAAGTTCCCTCGTCAGCACCACAAAAAACAACCGGATGTAGACATGGGGGTGAGTGGAAGTTGAAGATGGACCAGTGGTCTGAATTTGGTTGGAGGGGTGGAGAGTAGGGTGGAAGATGAGGATGGAGCTGTGTTGGGTTGGGTGAGACTCAGTCGGAGGGGTGGAGGTGGGCTGGAGATGAGGAAGGAGTGGGGTGGTCTCTGTTGGGAATTGGAGGAGGCACTGCTCACCTGGCCTCTCCCCAGCCCTACCACTTCATCTCCACCTGCAGATTTGGGATGTGGTGGAGAAGGCAGACGTTGGCTGCACCCCTGGCAGTGGGCAGGACTATGCGGGTGTCTTCAAGGATGCAGGTCTGGCCTTCAAGACCAGCAAAGGCCTGCAGACCGCCCAGAGGGCAGGTGAGGACCTGGAGCAGACAGGACACACTTCCCTCTCCAGACACTAGTAACAGGGTCTGAAACTGGGGCCCCTGGGTTCAAGTCCCACCTCCACAGGAATCACAGGCATATCCCTGCTGTATGAGCCTCAGTTTCTTCATCTGGGAAATGGGCACAACCACACCTGACCTCAAAGCCATTGGGAGGAGTGCCCCATGGACCATCTTGTTCTTGGTCCCCTTTTCCCTCAGAAACCGAGTGCTCAAAGCCAGCCGCCCGCCGCCGCCGCTCTGTGCAGCTCATGGAGAAGAGGATGGACAAAGGTGGGAGTCCACTGCCCTGGCCCCACCCGCCACCCTTAGAGGACCCCCGTCTGGCCTTTTTAGAATCCACAGGCAGGAGGGGAGGGCTGGCTGGGGAAGTTCTCCTGTCTGGTGGCGCCCGGGCTGAGGCTGATGCGGGGTCTGCGCTCCACAGTTGGTCAGTACAAGAGCAAGGAGCTGGGGAAGTGCTGCGAGGACGGTATGCGTGACAACCCGATGCGGTTCACCTGCCAGCGCCGAGCTCGCTTCATCTCCCAGGGGGAGGCGTGCGTGAAGGCCTTCATGGACTGCTGCACCTACCTCGCCCAACTGCGCGAGCAGCACTGGCGCGAGGGCAAGCTGGGCCTGGCCAGGAGTGAGTCTCACTTGGGGGTGACAGTGGGGGAGGGGAAGGACACACCTGTCAATACGTGGAGAATGGGGGGGCACCTGTGTGATGGGAAGAATGCCCTTGCCAGTGGGGGTAAGAACCCCGTGTGGGGGAGATGCAGACCCCATGAGGCACAGAATATGGGTGGATTTCAGCATCTATAGAATCCCACTTGGTGGGTAGGAGCCAGAAGTTAAATTAAAATGTCTGAGGAAGGAAGAGCCAGGGCAGAACCTTCGTCCAGCCGAACTTTTTTTTTTTTTTTTTTTTGGTGGTACTGGTGTTTGAACTCAGAGCCTTGCGCTCTACCACTAAAGCCATGCCCCTTTTTAGCTGTAGCTATTTTTCAGATAGGCTCTCACATTTTTGCCCAGGGCTGGCCTTGGACTGTGAACCTCCTACCTACATCCTCCCATATAGCTGGGACCATAAATTCACACCAGAATGCCCAGATTATTAGTTGTGATGGGCTCTCATTAATTTTTTGCCTGGGCTGACCTCTAACCGGGATCCTCCTGATCTCCACTTCCTAGGTAGCTGGAATTACAGGTGTGAGTCACTACACCTGTTGTCGAACTAGCTTTTAAAGACCACCAGAGGGTGGTCTCCACCAGGTGTGCAAGCACTTTGAACTTACCTGGTGGTATTCAGGATGTACAGATCCTCACACACCGCAGGCATGATGACAAGGGGCCTTTATCCTCATAAAGAGAGGCCTGTGCAAATACTTTCATTTCTTTGAAAATCAGAGGAAGGAAATTGAATAAACCCGGCTTGGATTATATTCACCTTTACACCAACACATTTATAAACTATAACTTTCATTTTTTAATGGAGAAAAGTCTCCAAAGTGTAACATGCCTGGAGTTCATAAAATGCCATTACACAATCTGGATATGTGTCCTCCAGGACCGAGATAGCATATGAGGAAAAAGTAGCTCTCTTCCCAACCAGATCTCCCCCACCCTCAGGTGAGCTGGATGAGGACATCATCCCAGAAGACATCATATCTAGGAGCCAGTTTCCAGAAATCTGGCTGTGGACCATAGTAGAACTGAGAGAACCAGAGAAGAATGGGTACAGTGGGGGCGGGGTCCCCCCGCTTCATGCTCCCACCCGAGGCCTGCTAGCAACACCCCAGACCCACTATTTCATTTGCATGCACCTGCAACTTCCGGTGTCCTCTAAGTCACCGTGGAGCCCTGCAGCCCAAGGGAGAAGCTGGGCTACGCATGTGCACACCCCCAGACCCCTGCAGCCTGTCCCTTGGTCCCTCCCCACCTGTGCTAGAAGTCTCCTCCTAATGCCCCGACCCCTTCTCCACCCAGAATCTCCACGAAGATCATGAACATCTTTCTGAAAGACAGCATCACCACGTGGGAGATCCTGGCTGTGAGCTTGTCAGACAAGAAAGGTGAGAAACTCAGCAGATGATCCCAACACAGCGCATGGCGTACTTCATGACAGCTTCCTCTCTGACCCTGGCTCTTGGAGAGGTATCCAAGGCTAGACCATGAGGGACGTAATTTCCCAAAGCAGAGCTTTTTAAAATTTATAGCACACACACACACACACACACACACACACACACACACACACACACAGTTACAGTGCCTCCCACTATCAAGAGCTCCCTTTAGAGTGAAGTGGCCTGTGTGTTACAATCTGTGAACCTACATTGACACAATATTGCCCAGAGTTTACAGCTTACAGTAGGGCTCTCTCTTGGTGTCAGAGGGTTTATGGATCTGAACCAAAATACAACAACATGAATCCAAGCTTTTTGGCAGGCTCTTAAATTGTATGCCATAGAGCTGGGCATGGTGACACACCTGTAACCCCAGCACTCAGGAAGCTGAGGCAGGAGAATCTTGAGTTACAGGCCAGCCTGGGCTACAGGGATAAAAAAACAGTCTCCAATTAAAAAAAAAGAGTATGTCTGAGAATAGGGCCTCAAACTCCTTTCCCTGCCACCAGCCTGCCACAGGCTGCCCATAGTTGATCAGGGTTAAACTATTCACACAGAATAACTCTCACACACACAAAAACCTTTGAAGGAGCAATGTCGACACGAGACTGGGCAGAGTGATTAAGAAAAGATGAAAGAGGAAGCAGGATTGTAACATGGGTGGTCAGGGGTGAAACATGAGAAAAAGGCAGCCGGGCGTGGTCCCATCGTGTGTACCTGTGCCCCTGCCACCAGCAGCCTGACGTGAGGCCCCAACCAGCCCTGGTTAAATGGTGAACGGCTTGTGGCTGGGCCAGGAGAAGGGGCAGGAGGCTGAGGTGCTGTACTCCAGCCTAGAATTTAAGGGCACGCTTAACGATGATGAGTCATCGTTATAGGAGATGTTTTAATGAAATATTGAAAAATCAAAGGGGACACAAAATATCCATGATGCAGAAATAGAAATCAGAAGCCAAACACAGTACTTCATGCCTGTAATCCCAGCACTTGGCAGATTAGAAAATTGCAAATTCAAGGCCCAATTGGGCTACACAGAGAGATTGTGTCTGAAAAAAAAAGAAACAAAAATAAAAAAATAGTGCTGTGCCATGCCCTAACCATGCTATATATAGTCTGTCATAATTGATAATGTTATATTATTTATACTTATGACCTACATCATATTCATATTTTTATCTTCTATTTATAATTTATATCATACTATAGTATAATGAAAGTTTATTAATATTATATTATTAACATAGTACAAGTATTATATAAATATTTAAATACATAAATTAAACCATTCCATTTATATATATAAATTATGACCTTGGGTAATACTATGTGATATAAATGATGTAATATTGGACAATATAAATCCTATCATTTATTATTTGTTATGTAGTTATGATTATAATGTTATAATTTAATAATTAAACTATCTTATATTAATTAATTAAATCACTTAATATTAATGATATTATTATATTAATTATAATACATTTACTTAACCAAAAAAGATCATAACATTTTGTAGAAAGTTGCAAAACCACTTTTACACTACTGTTATAATAATTAATTTTTAATCTTAATCATTTATTAATATCTCAAAATTAGTAACGATGTATTTCACTTTTGTCTGCACTGTTTGCAAAATCTCGCGAGTATTTGATACTCCCGTGCAGTTCAGCAATGATACCAGATTTCCCTGGGAAAACGTGGGTCTGTATTTTGGGCATCCTGACATTCACTGTAGAAAGTGGCCTTCCTGTACCTGGCGTATTGCAAACATCCTAGAACATTTCCCAGTTACTGAATCAGGGACCTGTGGTGGCTCAAGTGGTAGAGTATTTGCTTTGCAATCACGAAACCCTGAGTTCAAACCCAGTCTCACCAAAAACCAGACAAAAACCCCCAGTGGTTGACTCAAACGTCATTTCTTTGCAAACTGAGATTTAATTCTTATAACCAAAAAAGTCACCCCTTTAAAATGTGTGGTGAGGGCTGATTCGTGTGTGACAATGAGTATTAATTAGGTTTTTGAGCTTAAATCTGTGTTAGATTAAATAAATGTAAATAAAGGCAAATCACATGCAACAATCCAGTTCCCAGCTGCAGCTAGCCATGTTTTGAGTGCTCCGCCATCCTGGGGGCTTGGGGTCACCCTGTGTGGGAGGCAGGGATGTATTTTGGAGACCCTGGGGTTCCACTTGCTGTGCTCTAAATACCCACCTATGAGTCAAATCACAGAGGCTGGAAATCATTAGGTAAAAATCTCATCTGGGATTGACCACGGGAGCCATGTTTCGTACATGGGCTTCTGCAAAGACAGGCCCAGCCTGGGACCGCTGGCATGGCTCTGGATAGGGTAGGCAGCACTTGAACCCAGAACCTGCCTTTGCCACCCTGCCCTTCCTCCGCCCTTGACCCTTGCTGTTCTGCCCCGCGGCAGGGATCTGTGTGGCAGACCCCTACGAGATCACGGTGATGCAGGACTTCTTCATCGACCTGCGGCTCCCCTATTCGGTGGTGCGCAATGAGCAGGTGGAGATCCGAGCCATCCTCTACAACTATCGTGAAAAGGACAGCCTCAAGGTGACCCGTGTGACAGAGGCAGGGAAGGGGGAGGGAAGGGAGGGTGGCCCTCAGTGCACACCTGCCCTGACCTCTCTCTCCCCGGCAGGTGAGGGTTGAACTGCTCCACAACCCAGCCTTCTGCAGCCTGGCCACCGCCAAGAAGCGCCACTACCAGACCGTGGTCATCCCGCCCAAGTCCTCGCTGCCCGTGCCTTATGTCATCGTGCCCTTGACTATCGGCCTGCAGGAGGTGGAGGTCAAGGCCGCGGTCTACAACCACTTCATCAGCGACGGTGTCAAGAAGACCCTGAAGGTCGTGGTGAGTCCTCCAGGCACCTGCTGCCTCTGTGCCTTCAGGGAAGGTCCCTGCTCTCCATGCTGTGACCCAGGCTCTGCGACACTGACAACCATCAGTGTCCTGGCTTAGGAAATGCAGAATTTCCAGAAATTTGGAAGCAGAGCCAGGATTAGAGCAAGACAAAGTGAGACCCCCTGGACCACAGAATTTTAGGGGAGGGGGGAGCAAAAACTGCAGCTCTGGAGATCAAAAATATAGCAGGGCTGGTGACTCACACCATTTTTTTTAGCAGTACTGTGATTGAACTCAGGGCCCGGGCTTGGCAGGCAGGTGCTCTGCTACTTGAGCCACATTCCCAGCCCTTTTCAGTTTTTGTTATTTTTCAAATAAATTCTTGTATTTTTGCCTGAGCTGGCCTCAGGCAGTGACCCTACTACCTATACTGCCTATGTAGCTGGGATCACAGGCATGTACCACCACAGTTTATTGGCTAAGATGAGGTCTTGCCAACTTTTTGCCACAGCTGGCCTAGAACTGTGGTTCTCCTGATCTCCTCCACTTATGTAGCTGGGATTACAGGCATGAACCTCAGCACCCAGCTTCAATCATGTTTGAATGCAATAATTTTTTACACCCTGATCACTGTTATTAAAGATTATCACCACAGAAAATTTGTGGTGCTGGGTTCCCATGATCCCATGCATGGTTAGGCAAGACATCTGCTATGAAGCTACATGCTGGGTCCATCAATTCTCTTTGTTCTGATGGTAAAATATATATAACATAAAAGTTTCCACCCTAGCCACATTTAAATGTGCAGTTTAGTGACATTAAATACTTTCATACTGCTGTGTCACCATCATTACCATCTATCTTCAGGACCCTTTTACTTTTGTGAAACCAGAACTCTCCATCCTTTCATGTGATATTTTAAGAAATCAAAATAAGGACTAGGAATGTAGCCAGTGGTAGAGTGTGTGCCTAGCATGGTAGTTTGATCCTGTTGGAAAAAATCTCTGGATTAATGAATAAGACTCAGGAGTCCGTCAGCAAGACGAATAGCTTTTCTTCTACAGAAGGGTGGGCAACTGACAAAGATCTGCTAAGCAAGCATATCAGGCAGGAACTCCACTCGGGGTTTATCCCTGATGCAACACTGTCCCTTCTATTGGTGGAAGTCAGGGCTCATAGTCTTTCTTGATTAACTATAGATGAGGTAAAGGGCAAGGTTAACATTTAACATTCTGGGAAGCCAAGAGTTAAGCAAGCATAACAGGGTGCTGCTTTGAAGTGGATTTACCTCGGTTGCTATTTCTTTGAAGGACAAGACAAGTTATTCCCCACAATCCCCAGCACCACACACACTCACACACACATACACACACACTCATACACACACTCACACACACACACACACACTCATACACACACTCACACACACACTCACACACACACACACACACACTCATACACACACTCGCACACACACACAGCAATATAAGGAAATCAAAATGAATGGTAAAAAGGGGCAGTTAGCAAAACATCAAAATTTTACATAGAAGCCAGGCATGGTTATGCACACCTATAATCTCAGCACTCAGAAGGCTGAGGCAGGAGGATCAGGAGTTCCAGGCCAGCCTAGGCTTCATAGTGAGATTCTATTTAAAATAGAAACAGAATCCCATAGTGTCAAACCACACCATATGTGACACGCTAAGGCAAAAGGAAAAATGAACACTCAATATACATGTTTTTGTGTGTTTTTCCTCCAGTGCTGAATTTCTTTCAAAATGTTACAATAGTTAGAAAAAATACTGAAACATTAAAAAGAACGTATATTAAAACAGACACTGTTAATTTACATTGAAAGGCATTTCTACCTAACGCAGAATTTAGTGTTATTGTCGGGCTTTCATGGAACCCAAAACGGAAAGCAGCACTTGCAAGGCAGGTGCTCCATCATTTGAGCTCTATCACACCTTCAGTCCATTTTGTTTTGGTTATTTTGGAGATGGCACCTCCTGAACTATTTGCCTGAGACAGCCTCGAAGCTCAATCCTCCCGATCTCAGCCTCCCAGTAGCTAGGATTACAGGCATGAGCCATGGGCTCATGTAGTTTTTTCAGTTGCTTTAATGCTGTGTAATAAAGGGTTGAGGTGTGGCTCAGTGGTGAGTGCTGACCTAACACGTACAAGGTCCCAGCACCACGTGCACACACATCAGTAAACCCACATGTTGAGAGAGGCACATGATTCCTTTTCCCTCAGGGACAGTAAGGCAGTGTGGGAGAAAGCACCAGCACTCTGGAGCCCACTTGGTGCAGCTCCCGACAGCCAAGGGATGCAAATCTTCCCTGCTCTGTAAGATTGATGAAATTGATCGTGGTGGGGTTCATACACCAAGGCAATTGGCAGCCTTACAATTCAGGGCTTGGATTGCAGGTTGCTAAACACTGGTGGGCAATTACTGGAGGAAACCAATGACCAAAGGAAAACCTGGTGTGACTACCAGGCAAAGGGAGGCTGTGTCCTGGAAGGCAAAAGCAGCTGCTGTCCACCATGGAAGTTGCTCACACACTGATGAGGGCTTGGGTTGGACTTTCAACACTAATTAAATAGTGCCCCTATTTATTGAGCACCTGACACTGTGCTGGACACTTTGTGCCCATGCTTTTATTGTAGAGATGTTTGGGAGGCAATGGGTCTGTAGCCAGACCATCAGGTTCAAAGCCCAGCTCTTTTCTACTAGCTTTGTGACCTTGGTGAGTTCCTAACCCCTCTGGTACCCCAGTTTTGTCATCTTTAAAATGGAAGTGATAGCCAGGCATTGGTGGCTCATGCCTCTAATCTTAGCCACCCATCAGGCAGAGATCAGGAGGATGGAAGTTCAAAGCCAATCCAGGCAAATAGTTCAAGAGACCCTATCTTGGAAAAAAGACCCACACAAAACAGGGCTGGTGGAGCAACTCAAATAGTAGGGCACCTGTCTAGTAAGCATGAGGCCCTGAATTCAAACCCCAATGCCACCAAAAAGAAAATAAATGGAGTGATATTCCTCTCAGCAGAAATCAGGGAGACTGAAATCAGAAATCTGACTTCATGGGAAAACCTTTCTGCTCACAAGATAAACTTTTTTTTTTTTTTGCAGGGCTGGGGGTAGAACCCAGGGCCTGTGCACTGCTAGCCAGGGCTCACCACTTATCTACACCCCCAGCCCCAGGATAAACTGGCCATCACTTGTTACTGAATTGAAGGACTTAGCAGCAATGCTCAGGGAGGGATTTCTTTTGTCATTTTGCTTTGTTTTGAGACAGGGTCTCACTATGTAGCCCATGCTAGCCTCAAACTTGCAGTCCTCCTGTCTGCCTCCTGAGTGCTGAGATGACAGGCATGGACCACCACATCTGGCTCCTATAAAGCAGATTTAGTTTCTGATGCATTTTCATATTCTTTAGTTATTCCCTTCACAGTAATACTTGAATTAAAACATAAGTTGTCCATATGAGCTTTTATTTAGACAGGGTCTCACTGTGTTGCCCAGGCTGGTCCCAAACTCCTGAATTCAGATGATGCTTGCCCTCAGCCTGCTGAGTAGCTGGAACAAGTGTGTGCCATGAGGCCTGGCAGGACTCACTTTTAAACTTAAATACAAGAAGTTTGAAAACATTAACACATAGCACAGGAGTGCTAATAGCTATGTTAGTCAGCTTTCCATCACTATAACAAAATACCTGAGACAATTAACTTATAAAGAAAAAAGTTCATTTTGACTAATGGTATTAGAGGTTCTAGCCCATAATCAGGCAGATCCACTGCTTTTAGACCTTTTGTAGGGGGGGTAGCACATCAATGAAGCCACCAGGGTCCCACAGTTCACTTAGAGGACACGGCCCCAGTGACCTAAAGCCCTTCCACGAAGCCCGTCTCGTAAAGGTCCCATCACCTTCCAGCAGTGCCCCCTGGGGACTCAACCTTTAACACATGGACCTTTGGAGGATATTCCAAATGTAAACTATAGCAACAGCAGTACCAACCCTAGGCTGTGAGGACCAAATGAGTTAACCTGGGTAGTTTCTCAGTACTTAGGAAGATATTAAAAGGTTTTATTATTTCATTATTAATTTGCAATGTGATAAATTCCCACAGTAGCATAAGGTGGGTGTTTCTATTGTCTCCTCCTTGTGAGGAAGGAAACTGAGGCACAGAGAGGTTAAGTAACTGGCCTCCAGTGACACAGCTAAGAAGGTGGAGGAGATGCCATATCTCTGCTAGAGTCATCCTCAGAAAGGGTCCCTGATGGCTGTTTGTGTGTCTGTTGGTCCTTTTGTTCACCCAACTCCCCTCTCCCAACTCCGCATAGCCTGAAGGAATCAGAGTGAACAAAACAGTGGCCGTTCGCACGCTGGATCCAGAACACCTTGGCCAAGGTGAGGCAGTGGCAGGTGGCAGGTGAGGGTGTGGGGGACGCTGGGAAGGGGTGGGTGGGGCTGGTGCCATGAACAACTCACTTGCCCTGCAGAGGGAGTGCAGAGAGAGGATGTGCCACCAGCAGACCTCAGCGACCAAGTCCCAGACACCGATTCTGAGACCAGGATTCTCCTGCAAGGTGAGACGTCCTTAGCCCGACACAGGGGCCCAGAAAGGGGCTGGGTTCCATCCAATTCTGGGGGTCCTTAATCACAGCTCCCCCCTCCCCCAGCTCAGCATGAACAGCTCTCTCCAGTCAGCTTTATAGGAGTGTCCAGGAAGTATTCAGTTCAGCAAAGAGCTTTTGCTGATAAACAGGTTTAAATGAAAAGCCACATAGTTCAAGAGCAGAGATTGAGCAAATCATTGCCCAGGACAGAAGACTAGGATCACAAGGGACAAGAAGGAGACCTTGTAACCTGTGAACTGCGAGGTTTTGGGGCGAGAGCCCTGGTTTCCTCATCTATGATAGGGAGCGAGTTTCTACCTCCAAGGCGATTGTGGCGGTTAAATGAGGTACTACAGGCGTTCTCATTAAGCACGATATCAATATTCATGCCTAGACCTATTTCACTATCAATCCAGGGACCAGGTGACCCTGAGAAGTACAAGCCCGCTCCCCCGGCCTGCGTGCAGAGCCCCGTCCAGCCACGGACCACGCGGCCTCTCCACGCTGCCCCCTCCCCCAAGTCACATCCTCCCTGCTGCTACCTGTCCCTGAACTCTTGGCCCAGGCTGTTCAGAGGCGGGGGCCGCTGTGGACAGCCCAGAGCCTCCTCCCTGAGCATAGGGTCACCGGCTTAGCAAGGTTCTTTTCAACCGGGCTGCAGGGACCCCGGTGGCCCAGATTACAGAGGACGCTGTGGATGGGGAGCGCCTGAAGCATCTCATTGTGACCCCCTCGGGCTGCGGGGAACAGAACATGATCGGCATGACGCCCACCGTCATCGCTGTGCACTACCTGGACCAAACTGAGCAGTGGGAGAAGTTTGGCCTGGAGAAGCGGCAGGAGGCCCTGGAGCTCATTAAGAAAGGTGGCGGCGCCCAGCAGCTCTGGAGAGCTTGCACTCTTCCGGCTGCTTCTCCCAGGGCCCCGCCCCTCCGCACACTGCCCCGCCCCTCCCAGGGCCCCGCCTCTCCTCCCAGAGCCCCGCCCCTCCGCACACTGCCCGTCCTTCCTGGGAGACCTCTCCTCTCTCTGCATCCCCTCCCTTCCGAAAACTCCTCCCCTCCTCTGATTTGCGTGCCTTCCCAGAATGCCAAACCTGCCTGAGCCAGCTTCCCTCTCTGAACACCAGTTCCACCCCGCATAGCATCCTCGTCAGAGTTCTTCCCCAGAGATCCCTCTCCAGTGAGACCCCCCACTATATCACCCCACCAGCTCTCTGGCCACTCCCTTCTCTGATTCTCTTAACCTCCTGGGAATCCCTTTTAACCCTGTAAAATCCCCTCTCTCCCCAGACATGGCTCTTCTCTACCCAGAGTTCCCATTCCCTCTCTGAATCCTTGTTCCACCCGCATAGCATCCTTGTTCCTTTTCTGTCTGGGCTCTTCCCCTCCCTGGCACCAGCCACCTGCAGCCCCCTCCGTTCAGACGGCCTCTTCCCGCTCTTTTGGTGATCCTCTCTCTTCCTGGCAGGGTACACCCAGCAGCTAGCCTTCAAACAACCCAGCTCGGCCTATGCTGCCTTCCTGAACCGCGCACCCAGCACCTGGTGAGTACAGATGATCACCTTGCCTGGCACCCACCTGGCACCTGCCTGAACAGGTCCGGGATCCACAGTCAGCATAGGCTGGCTGAGTGACCTGGGGACAGTCAAGCATCACTAAGCACCGACTTTCCTGCAATTCTGGGTCCTGGCTAGGGAAACTGGGCAAACCTAGCTAGCTCCGCCCCCCTCTGCTCATTGGCTGGCTGGGATGGCAGTCTCTGGATCCCAGAGCCAATTGGCTTATGCTCTTTATCCACCCCCCAGGCTGACAGCCTATGTGGTCAAGGTCTTCTCTCTGGCGGTCAACCTCATTGCCATCGACTCCCAAGTCCTCTGTGGGGCTGTTAAATGGCTGATCTTGGAGAAGCAGAAGCCCGACGGAGTCTTCCAAGAGGATGGGCCCGTGATACATCAAGAAATGATTGTAAGAGGCTGTAGGGTTCAGGGTTGAATGGAGGAGGAAATACCTGAGCATCACAGGATGGACAGAAGGATTCCTCCCCACCTGCCCACTGCCCAGCGCACTTGGCGAAGGTGGAGGTGGGGGACAGGGACATAAATGGCACTCCAACGTTGCAAAACCCAGAGACCTGCAGAGCCCACTGTCAAATGAAAGTGCATGACATCTTGTTCAGAAATAAGAATTTCAGGAGACCTGCCTGGGAGTCCCTTCCCATGTCCAATTTATCGCTGACTCCTGCACCATCTGCTGCCTGGAGGAGGATGCTCCTCACTGTTCCATCTCCCCGCCGGCACCACCAGCCCCTGGTCCAAATACCTCCCCTCCCTCATCTGGAGACCCTCCGAAAACCCTGCAAACAAGTCACCTCCTGTCATTGTCCCCCTGGGCTCTCCAACCCTTGTTGGCTCTCAGGCATTCACTGCAGCTGGAGCAGCCAGGGGATTTTTCTAAATCTGATAAGATCCCTCCTTAGGAAGTCCTGGGGCTCCCCGTGGCTCTTTAGATAGCATGGGACTGGAATTACAGGTGTGAACTATCACGCCCAGACCTTAAGTGCATTTTTACTTCTAATATTTTCCATTTACCATGGGTTTTTCAGGATGTAGCCCTGTTGTAAGCCAAGGGGTAGCTGGTTGGTCCAGTTCCATCTTTTTTTTTTTTTGTCAGACAGAACACCCCATGTGGACTGAGGCCAGTGTCTGCTTCAAACACACTATTGTACCTACAGCCAGGACAGTGGGCTTCCCTCCACTGACCTCTGCAGAACAAAAAAAATGATTGAATGAGTTCATACCAAAGACTTTGACCTTCCTGGGGGAGGGGAGCACCAGGAGGGGACCAGACCTGTCGAGATTCACTGATTCTGCAGGGAGCTTGATTGAACGCCATGTGTGGACTTGTGGTGACTCCATTCTGCTTTCTGCACCCCAACACAGGGTGGCTACCGGAATGCCAAGGAAGCTGATGTGTCCCTCACCGCCTTCGTCCTCATCGCCCTTCAGGAAGCTAAAGATATTTGCGAGGGGCAGGTCAACGTAAGTGTCTTCCAACCCTCTTCCTCACACCCTAACTGAGGGGGGAGGTTGTTTTGGGAGATCTCCAGCCCTCCCACTTACTTACTACTCAGGTGGTCTTAGAAAAATACTGCATCTCTCCGAGAATCTGTTGTTATCATGGAGGACTGTGTGAGGTTAAGTAAGTGTAGATATGATAGACACATACAGTGAGTGATTGACAGCAGCGCTGACATAGTGGAGGAGGAGGGAGAGGAGAGGGCTAACAGGTATTCAAGGTGATGGACTGAGTCTGGCTTCTACTAGCTGTGCCTGTCTATTTGGAGCAGGTCTGGGGTTTGTTTGTTTTACTTTTTTCTTTTTCTTCCTTTTTTTTTCTCTTTGTGGTACTGGGGATTGGACTCAGAATTTCTGCCGCTTCAGCCACACCCCCAGTCTTTGTAGTTTTTTTAGTTTGTTTTTCAGATAGGGTTTTGCATTTTTGCTGGGGTCAGCATCAGACTATGATCCTCCTATGTCCATTGCCTGAGTAGCTGGGATCACAGACATGCACTACCTGGCTTGGAGCATCTTTTGCCAATACTTTGCTCAGTAATGTCACGTTGGAAGCTTGAAAATGGCCCTGGTGGGAGTATTTACACCATCATAATTGGCAATCATTGCCCCCCACCTACACATTTAGCACACATTACTGGATATACAGACTGCACCAGGTAAGGGCAGGTATTTGGTAACAAGGCAGCCAGCTCAAAGTGGCTGAGATGTCTATGAAACTAGACAGCTCAAGTCAGAGAGATCCCAAAGATAGACACCATCCTGGAGCCCCAGATGTTGTGTTTTCATGATCCTGACCAGCTATGAATGTCAGCGATGCCTGCCTGACTGGCACCCCTGTCCTTTCTCAGAGCCTAGGAGGCAGCATCACCAAAGCAGGAGACTACCTTGCGAACAGTTACATGAACCTGCAGAGGCCGTACACTGTGGCCATTGCCGGCTATGCCCTGGCACAGATGGGCAAGCTGGAGGGCCCCCTCCAAAATAAGTTTCTAAACACGGCCAAAGGTGAGGGGGCAGTCAAAGGGGGTGGGTGAATGCCTCGCTGGGGTTTAAGGAAGGCCATCCTGAACTCAGATGCATGGCTCTTAGCTGATGGCAATGGTGGCTCTAAGGTGACCCAGATCTTCATTACAAACCACACAAGAAGATTCATCTGTATCACTCATCCAAATGAAAGAGGGAGGGCTCCTGAAAGAGGACAGTGGTGACAGACTCCCCGAGGCCTAGCTGTGTCTTTCTGGGTGAGCCCAGGCTCACAGGTGCTGAGAGCGGGTCTGGGGTGTCCTTCACAGATCGGAACCGCTGGGAGGAGCCGGGTCATCAGCTTTACAATGTGGAGGCGACATCCTATGGCCTCCTGGCCCTGCTGCAGCTCAAAGACTTTGACAGTGTGCCTCCCGTCGTGCGCTGGCTCAATGAGCAGAGATACTATGGTGGCGGCTATGGCTCCACCCAGGCAAGTGGCACCTGCAGCTCTGTGTCCTTAACCTGCCACTACCTCCCAAGGATGACACTGAGACCTGGACAGGCAGCTCTTCTGTCCCACAAACCACGGGGACTGGAGAGAAGCTGAGGAAAATTCTAGACTGTGTCCTGCTGCTCCAAGCTTCATTCTAAGCCTGCTGGCTCCCTCCCCATGTCCAGGCTGTATTCTCAGGTCCCAGGTTCAAGTGATCCCCCTCTCCCCTTGGCAGGTTCTAGACCACATTCCCAGTCCCACCAGGCTCCCAGTGTCCCCCTGTCTCACAGGTAACTTCAAGAGCAGGTACCCAGTTACCCTAGGGCACGTCCGAACCTCTCTCCCCCAGTGCTTCTGGACTATGGTTTCAGTAACTTCACCCTCCAGCCTGTCCCCCTTTCTTTCTGGTGGCCACCCAACCCTACTCTCAGTGTCACATTCAATATTACTTTTGGATTCGGTGCCTCTAGGCTCCAATTTTATTCTTTTTCTTTTTTCCTGAGAGGGTTCTAGACACAGATCTGAGTCCCTATCTGGTCTCCTCTGGATGGGTCCAAACCACATGATCAGGGGTTCTGGACCTTCAATCTTGTTCCTGGGTTTGCTGATGGATCCTAGACATGCTCCCAGCATCTCCAAGTCCTGGCCAAATCTTTCTGTCCCATGGAAAGTTCTAGAATGGGTACTCAGTGTCTAATAACCTCCAATCTTACCTTCACATTGTTTGGTGGGCTCCAGGCCACAGACTTATTGTCATTGGCCTCTCTCAGTCAGGTTCCAGGACACGTGCTCAGTGTCCAGCACCCCAAACTTAACCTTGCACTCTCTGGCGGGTTCTAGGCATGGTTTAACATCCTACACCGGACCCATACCTCTTCCTCCATTGATCCTAACCACTTTCTCTCCCATGGGTTCTAGGCCACCTTCATGGTGTACCAAGCCTTGGCCCAATACCAAACAGACGTCCCTGACCACAAGGACTTGAACATGGAGGTGGCCATCAACTTGCCCAGCCGCAGCTCCCTGGTCAAATTTCGCCTTCTCTGGGAATCTGGTAAACTCCTGCGGTCAGAAGAGGTACAGCCACACCTCCTGTTGTCACTGGCCCTCACCCCAGAGTCAGGGGAGGGCTTGCCTTCTCCTAACACCTCTCCTCTCTCCACACTCTCTGCAGACCAAGCAAAATGAGGGCTTCTTGTTAACAGCTAAAGGGAAAGGCCAAGGTACCCTCTCGGTAAGGAAGGGGACCCCACCTGCCTGGCCCTGGAGGGACCCTCTTTTCCCTGTCCTCAGCCATCCCACATCCCACGGGACTTTGTCCCCCCTTCCATCTTCCCAGGTGGTGACCATGTACCATGCCAAAGTCAAAGGCAAAGTCACCTGCAAGAAATTTGACCTGAGGGTCACCATAAGACCAGCCCCTGAAACAGGTAAAAGGAAAAAAGACCCTTTATGTCACTGCCCCGCACACCTAACCTAATGTGTGACCCATTCCTGAATCAGGACTCGAGACACCCTCTCCTCTCTTTCTGTCTTACGGGGCTGGGGCCAGGGCTGAAGTGATAGTGCATCTGTCTCTCCAGCATAAGGCCCTGAGTTCAAGTCCCCTTAGTACCACTCACCCCCCATAATCTTATCTTTCTGTCTTCTGTCTTTCTAGTAAAAAAGCCCCAGGATGCCAAGAGCTCTATGGTCCTGGATATCTGCACGAGGTAAGAAGCGGAGTCACTGGAGCTCATCTTCGTCATCCCTCTGCCTTTAGGAAGACTTCCTTTTTTCTTTGCAGTGCTGGGGACAGACCTTAGCAAGCACTGTACCACCACGCTACACTCCCAACCCCAAAGCCACCATAATAACCAATGAGGAAATCAAGTAATTCCATGACCTTTAAGGTATTCTATCACAACATTAAAAACTATCCTATTGCCAGTTATGAAACCATAGGGAAGGCTGGGAGGGCTGCTCAGTGGTAGAGCATGCCCTGGGCTGCATCCCCAGCACTTCAGAAAAGGTAGAGGGAAATGAAAAATAGGATTTGAATATGCCATAATTTAAAGCAGCAGGACACTGAGAATCAAAGTGGTTTTGCTTTGTTTTTTCCTTTGTAAAATTCTATGGAAAGCCGGGTGCCACTGGCTCACTACTGTAATCCTAGCTACTCAGGCGGCAGAGATCAGGAGGATCACAGTTCAAAGCCAACCAGGGAAATAGTTTGTGAGACCCTATCTCAAAAAAAACCCATCACAAAAAAGGGCTGGTGAAGTGGCTCAAGTGGTAGAGTGCCTGCCTAGCAAGCATGAGGCCCTGAGTTCAAACCCCAGTGCCACCAAAAAAAAAAAAAAAAATGTGGAGAACGTCCAAATCTAACTTACATTACAAATTCTAACTTATAACTTATGTATGACTAAACAACTTTTCTCTGCCACAGTGATTGTCATGCCCCATCCTAAGCTGGGATCAGTGTCCAACATTTCATCCTTGCCGCTTTCAGTGTCATGAAATCTCTTTGAGAGCTCTTTCCATGCAAAGCTTATTTTCCTGCTTCTTCTGGGACATCTTTGTTCCCACCACCCTGCTTCTCCACACGGAGGAGAGTGTCTTCACGAAGCTCCTGTGCTCACATCTCTCAGACAGAAGCAGGGCCCACGTTCCCACTACAACCCCACTGAGTTCTGCATGAGCTCACCTCCCACACGACCATCTGTCATTTCTTTGCTGCATGTTTCTTGGCCAGTTCCCTGTTTCAATGATCCATTTTTGTAAAGTGTCGCTGAGAGATAAGGACATAACACAACAACAAGCTGTGCAACTTCAATAATGGACGCAGCAGTGAACTTCAAAAGCAGTGATGTGATTGGTCATTGTGACGCTTACCTGTTATTTACATATTGATGTGTGTTGAGGAGCTAGCCCTAAGCCCTTAAGCTTGCTGGTCAGGCACTCTACCACGTGAGCCATGCCTCCAGCCCTTTTGCTCTGGTTATTTTGGAGATAGGGTCTTGCTTTTTGCCCAGGACAGCCCATGATCCTCTATTTATGCTTCCCACCATCACTGGATGGCAGGTGCACACCACCACGCCCAGCCTTTTGCCACTGAAATGGAGTCTCACAATTGATTTTTGCCCAGGCTGGCCTTGAACTGCAATCTTCCCGATCTCAGCCTCCCATGTAGCTTGGGATGACAGTCACACACCAAGTAGCTTGGGATGACCAGTGCCAGCACTTCCAGCTATTAGTTGAGATGGGGTCTGGCAACTGTTTTGCTCAGGCTGGCCTGGAACTGTAATCCTCTCTATCTCAGCTTCACAAGTAGCTAGGATTATAGACATGAGCCTCCGGCCCCAGCTTAGCAACAAAATTTGTACTATGTGCAATTACGATTACTACACCAGGGTACTCGAATTTGCACCATTCCTTGGGGAACTGGCGTTAATTCACTGAATCATGGCAGTGGAATGACACAAAGTAAGGACTGCTGCACTCTCATCTTTATTTTGTGCAAGAACTGAGGCACAGGGGTCAGGTAACTCGTCCAATGTTATGCAGAGGTGGGGTTTGCGCTGTCTTTTAGGGGGGCCACATACTGGGCACGGAACCCAGGGCTTTGAGCATGCTAAGTAAGCACTCTACATCTGAACCACACCCCTAGACCACAGTGGGGATTTGAACCCATGCAGCTGGATCCACAGTGTGAGATCTTCATGACCTGGGCCATTACAGTAGATTTCCTTCTTTGCCCTTGGGGAAGTGTTTCCTAAAAATCAAACATCCCTCTATGATTCTCGGTCAGCCGGTGGTCAGACCCCTCCAACCAGGCACACACCCAGGGGCTGACCATCCCTGGGACCCAATGCCCTTCTCCCTGCCCTGTCCAGGTACCTGGGAGACGAGGATGCCACCATGTCCATCCTGGATATATCCATGATGACTGGCTTCGTTCCTGACACAAGTGACCTTGAGCTGGTACCAAGGCCTGGGGAGCTGAGGTTGGGGGGAAGGAGCCAAAATCTCAAAGAGGCTGATGGGAGAGAGGGGTCCAGGAGGGATTTTTACACACCCACCCGCTTCCCCAGCTGAGCACTGGCGTGGACAGGTACATCTCCAAGTATGAGCTGAGCAAAGCCTTCTCCAACAAGAACACCCTCATCATCTACCTGGACAAGGTAAGGCTGCATTGTCCCCATGGGTACCGTCTCTCTTACCTGGCCGGGCTTCTCCTACCAGTCAGTCTTTGTCTTCATGTTGGGTGGTCCAGCCTAGGGGAGCCAGTACCTGTGCTGTCAAGTGGTGGGAGAAAGAAACTGTAAGGCAGGGTGGCCCATCTAGGATGGCTTTCTTCAGGGACCTCACCCCAACCCCATTTTCTACTTCTCCTCAATTTTAAACAACCTTTGAGGAAGAGCCACTTTGTGGTGTTTTCTTTTGTTCTGGTGGTAATGGGATTTGAACTCAGGGCCTTGATGCTGTCGAGGCAGGTATCCTACTGCTTGAGCCACTCCACCAGCCCACAGCATTGCATCTATGGTTTTCTTATTTTCTCTCCATCTGTCATTTTCTTGTTCTCTAATCTGGGCTTCTGCTTGCTCCTTCTTACTTATTCCCATCCTCCATATCCCTGGTGCTAACTCCCAGTACCCCTAGTGTCCCTCAACACCCAGTAGTCAGCATAAGTAAACTAGCTACCCGAGCAAACCCGAAGAAGACGAGGATCAACACAAGGGATGTGTGTTTTCACTCAGTTAAGTCCAATTGGAGCTAGGCTCAGTGGTGCACACCTGTAATCCCAGCCTCTCAGGAGGCTGGGGCAGAAGGATCTCTTGTGCCCAGGACTTCGAGAACAGCCTGGGCAACACAGCAAGACCCCCATTTCAAAAAAAATAAATAAGCCAGGTGTGGTGATACACACCTATAATCCCAGTACTGGGGAGGCTGAGGCAGGAGACTCAAGAGGTTGAGGCCAGTTTAGGAGATATAGCAAGTTCAAGGAACAGCCTGAGATCCTTAGTGAGATGTTATCTCAAAAAATGCTAAATAAATAAGTACATATAAGTAAAGTCCAACTGGTATGGGAGGGTGAGGAAGGGCCCTCCATTCCAAGCAGTCACTAAGGGATCCAAGCCCCTTCCGTCTTGTGGCTAACAGTCCAAGAGTGGGTGGCCTCAACTGTTTGACATCTGATCAGAGTCTTCTGGTATCACAGTGAGAGTAAGTGCAAGAGAAAGGGCACAATGTGGGAGGGGAAGCAAGAGAGCAAGCCCAGAAAGCTGTACTTCCTTTATGACAACCTGCCATCACAGTCCTGTGAGACCTGACCCACTCCTGCAAGACTGGCATTAATCCCTTCCAAGGCGGGTGCCCCTGGACCTGGCACCATTATATTAGAGAATTAAGCCTCAGCATGAGTTTGAGTTGGAGCCTAGGAGAAAGGGAAAATGGATTTTCTGAAGAGCTCATCATCTTTGGTACCCATAACCCCCTGGATACTTCATCTCCTCCACCACTGCTCCAAATGGCAGTACCCCCTGGTAGACTCCCTCCACATCCCTATGACCCCCTCTACCTTCCCACAGATCTCACACTCCGAGGAAGAATGTCTGTCCTTCAAAGTCCACCAGTACTTTAACGTGGGGCTCATCCAGCCCGGGTCCGTCAAAGTCTACTCCTACTACAACCTGGGTGAGCACTGCGTTCTGAGGGCTCCACTGATCTCAGGACCCTGGGCACCTGTGACTTGGGAGTCTGAGAGTCTCTAAGGATGTATGAGTTGGAGGTCTGAGGTTCCCAGGGATCTGAGTTGGGAGTCAGGGGACTGTAGGGATCTGAGGTTTGGGGACCTGGCATCTCCAGGTCTGAGGAACGTACACCGGGAACCTGAGCCCTCCTGCCATGGTCTCTGGGAAGGAGGCTGTGGCCTGCTGACTCCCCCCGCCCCATGTTCTCTGCCCACAGAGGAAACCTGTACCCAGTTCTACCACCCTGAGAAGGAAGATGGTATGCTGAGCAAGCTGTGCCACAAGGACATGTGTCGCTGTGCAGAGGGTGTGTGCCCTGGAGTCAGTGGGCGGAGGGGGCCTGGGCAGTGCCACCACCCTGGTACCTCATGGGGAGGGAGACACTGAAAGTCACACCCAGTGGACATGAGGAGAGGGACAGACCCTGTGCCAGCCACACCCGGGGACAGGGAGCCCTGACGGAAGTGGGACTCAGAGCACATCTCCACCCCCACACCTGCAGAGAACTGCTTCATGCACCAGATGGACGAGAAGATCACCCTCAATGAACGGCTGGACAAGGCCTGTGAGCCCGGAGTGGACTATGGTGAGTGTCGCTGTGTGTGACACTGACTGTGTGTGGCGGAGGTTGTATAAGTCAGATTGTGTAATTGTGGTTGTGTGTGTGACTGGCTGGGTGTGGCCATGGCTGTGTGTGAGTGTGTCAAGCTATCACTGTGGATGACTGTCATGAGAATGTGTTGTCATGGGCTTTCATGTCATGGAAAACCATGGCCTAAGTATGTGTGTGTGTGAGCACATGTGTGATGTGAGGTTGTCGTGGTAGCCATGGTCGTGAAGAATTGTGCTGCACTGTCTACATGGCTGTAGTTGTGTGTGGCTCTAATTGTGAACACAGCTGTGTGACTGCATAAGCCATGGGGTTGTAAGTGGCTAGGTTTGCATGTGACTTGGTGAGGCTGTGACTGTGACTGTCTGTATTACTGTATGTGGCTCATGTGAGACAGTGGTGACGGGTCACTGTCATTGTGTATATGACTGTAACTGTGCGTGGCTCTAATTGTGTGCACAGTGTTTGTGTGTCTGTGGGACTTTACGTGCGCATAGCCTGGTTGTAGGGGTTGTGACTGCAGGTGGCTGTACATAGGAGTAGCTGTCATTGTGGAAATGACTGTACTTGTGAATGGCTCTAATTGTGGGCATAGTGGGGGGGCTGTCAGGTTACAGTTGTGTGAGAAGACAGTGAACTGAGGTAGCTGAAGTCTTGTACATGGCTATAGTCCTGGGTGGCTGTAGTTGTGCACATGGTTGCATATGAGACTGGTTGCCCATGGCTGTGGTCATACAGGACTGTGCTTATGGGTGGTTGTGCCCATGAGCAGCTGTCCTTGTGTCTGTGACTGTACTGTGGGTGACTGTATGACCATATGTTTGTTTGTGCTCTTGGGGGGGGGGACTGCAGGGTGACTGGCTGTGACTCTCCTGTCACTGCTTTGGGGGCTAGAGAGAATCACAGGCCCAGATGCACCTGCAGGTGAGGGCACCCACATGGTAACCCTGCCCATAACCCTGGCTGTGCCCTCCCCACAGTGTACAAGACCAAGCTGGCTACCATCGAGCTGTCAGATGACTTTGATGAATATGTAATGGTCATCGAACAGGTCATCAAGTCAGGTCAGCCCCTCCTCTGTCTTCCTGCCTCCCTGCCCCTCACCCACTCCCTCTTCTCTGGCTCAGCCCCCCTCTCCCCTCCTCTGCAGGCTCCGATGAGGTGCAGGCAGGGCAGGAACGCAGGTTCATCAGCCACATCAAGTGCAGAGAAGCCCTGAAGCTGCAGCAAGGGAAGCACTACCTCATGTGGGGTCTGTCCTCTGACCTCTGGGGAGAAAAACCCAAGTGAGTGCTGCCCTGCGCTCATGCGCAACTGCCTTGTGCGCCTCGCCCCGCCCCGCCCCGCCCCGCCCCCTACTGACCTGTCCTCCCGCCTCCAGCACCAGCTACATCATCGGGAAGGACACGTGGGTGGAGCTCTGGCCTGACGCAGAGGAATGCCAAGATGAGGAGAACCAGAAACAGTGCCAGGACCTTGGCGCCTTCACCGAGAGCATGGTGGTCTTTGGTTGCCCCAACTAACCACACCTCCAGCTCCTCCAATAAAGCTTCAGTTATATGTCATCTGTGTCATGAAGACTGCAGTTTCTTAAAAAGCACCTGTGGCCCCCCCCCTGCCTGAATTCTCACCTTTCCCACTTCCTTCTCTCTTGGCTCACCTCTTCATCACCCAAGCAGCATGTGCCCACCTCACCTGCACCTAGCACGAAGTGCACCTGCATCCTTATGGGGCTCTCACTTGCATTCCTCATCTGCATCCTTTGCTGCAGCTCACCTGCAGCCTCACCTGTGTCCCTCACCTGGCCCATCTTCATCTGTAAACTTACCTGTGTCATTGATTTACTTATTTATTTATTTATTTATTTATTTATTTATTTATTTATTTATTTATTTTTTGCAGTGGAGATGCAAAACCCTAGAGATGGAACCCAGGGTTTCATGCATGCTAGGCAAGCGCTTGGCCCCTGAGCTCTATCCCCAGCCCCTAGCTTACCTGTATCTTTACTTTAACAGCATTCTCACACCTGTTTTCCACAAGCATCCTCTTCTGCAGGTGCATTTTTCTATGCCTCCTCATCCAAGCCCTCCCCTGCATCTTTACCTACACTCCTCCGTGTATTTCTTTCTGGGTTCTTACCAGCATCCCCCGGTCTTCCCACCTGCATGCTTACCTTCTCCCTCACCTGTCTTCCTATCACTACACCCATCTGAAGCCTTATTTTGCCTATGTTGAGAACACTGTATCCGCCTGCACATTTTTGCCACCTCGCCTGTCTCCCAGCTTACCTGTGTCTGCCTTAACAACACTCTTAGCTATATTTCCCTGTTATGCTACCTACAGCCTCTTTTGGAAATGCATTTTCTCTGTGTTTTTCTCCTCGGTTATATCTGCCTCTGAATCTCTCTCACCTATATTCTCAGCTCCCTACTTACCTGTTTGTTTTTGCGGGGGGGGGGGGGAACTGGGGTTTGAACTCAGGGCTTCATGCTTGCAAAGCAGGCACTCTACCACTTGAACCACAGTCCCAGTCTCTTTTGCTCTGATAATTTTGGAGATGGGGTCTTGAGAACTATTTGCCTGACTGGCCTCAAACTGGGATCTTCCCAATCTCAGCCTCCCAAGTAGCTGGTGCCTGACTTTTACCTGTCTTTTTACCTGCACCATCCCCTGCATCTTTCCCTGTGTCTTTGTGGCACCTGGAACCTACAATCCGGTGCTGCCTCCCCATCTCCTCCTCACCTGGGTGCCTTTACACCCTGTTGACCCCCTCATCCTCAGCTCCCTCTGGCTCCATTTCCCATCTCACCTGCCTCACCTGCCTTCCATGGCTCTGCTTCTCCTGACCCCAGCTTCCCACTCCCCACTTTGCACCCGAGCCTGGAGGGTGTTGGGGGGAGCATGGTGTCTGTGGGCTGCAACCCGAGGGGGCGGGCGGGGCGGCGCTTGTGGGTGGAACCAAAAGGGAAGACATGAGTCAGCAGCCAGTCGCGGAGGGAGCACGGGGCTCTGAGGTGGCTGCATCACCAGCCCTGCGTGGGAGCTGCAGCCATGGTGTGGGGGCACTGATGCTAAGCGGGCACCCCAAGGGTCTCTTTTAACTTCACCCCAGATCCCTTCGGAGGGCGGTGCTGAGGATGGGACCGGCCGCCAGCTCTGGATGAAGTCATCGGAAATCCCTGAACCCAAAGTCGCTGGGGCACTGCACCAGCCTCTCAGACTCCCTAAGTCAGAAAGCCCCTTCCCCCAAGTCAAGAATATAGGGGACATCAAGTCAGTGCCCTTCAGGCAATGCTCCTGGCTTCCTCATTCCTTCCACTTCATCCTGCCTGGGATCCATTCTGCTCGCTGCTCTTAAGGAGGTGGGGAATCTGATCATCTATAATTTCAGGCTGTGACCAGTTGAAAGGGACACCCTCCTTCTCTCCCTCTGTCTTTCTGTTTCTGTCTTTCCATGTTTCTCTCTCTCCATCTTTCTTTCTGTAGCTTCCCCTATCTCTCTCTGTCTCCCTCTGTCTCTTCATCTGTCTCCATGTACATCTGTCTCTCATATTTCTCTGTGTCTCCCTGTCTAACTTTTTCTGTCTCTCTCCCTGTCTGTCTCCATCTTCCTGTCTCTGTCTCTCCCTCTCTCCTCTCTGTGTCAAGGTAGTGGATACAGTCTCTAAAGGCCTCATCACCTATCCTCCAGGGCACAGCTTGGAGGTCTAGGTAGGTTGGCAGGGACTAAGAGGTGGCCCTCAAGGTCAGCACATCAAAACTCAGCGAATGTTTCTCTCGGGAGGAACTGGCTGTCCTCATCAGCTTGCTGAGTAGCTGCCTCTGGGAATGTCCAGCCCTCAGTTCTGGTCCCCAACAGGAGAAACCCAACATGGCAGTGGTGTCCAGCTCAGGTGTTGACCATCATCTGACCAGGGAGCAGACATTGGGGACAGAGCTGGGGGATGGAGCAGAAGAGGCAGCCCCTACTATGGTCTCTGAATCCCACTCATGTGCCAACATCCTCGAGTGTTTCCAGAGCTGTGTAGAAATGGGGGAAGATCTGGATTTGACCCACAGACTAACTGGCCATCCCCAGTCATCTTAGTGGGAAGCCACTGGGAGATTGTAAGCAGGGCAGTGATGAGGGCTGACACTGTTTAAAAGAACTCACACTGGGACTAGGGTGGCTCAGCAGAGCACTTGCTTAGCATATGTGAAGCCCTGGGTTCCATCCCTAGCACTGCAAAAAAAAAAAGCTCACACTAGCAATTCTTCTCCTATGTACATATCCCAAAGTATTAAAAACTAGTACTCAGCCAAATACAAGTGCACACTCAGAGCAGCACCATTCACAATACCCAAAAGGAGGTGACAACTTACGTCCATCAACAGGTCAGTGGATACACACAATGTATTCCAGCAGAGTGAGGGGATAGTGTGTAGCTAGGAAAAGGAAAAAAGCTGGGCGGGGTGTGGTGGCCAATTCCTGTAATCCCAGTTACTTGGGAGGCAGAGACAAGAGGATGAAGGTTTGAGGCCAGCCTGGGTAATGTTAGCAAGCTCCTATCTCAAAAACAAGCCAAATGTTGAGGTGTGAGTCTGTGGTTCCAGCTCCTGAGGAGGCAGAGGTAGGACGGTCAGAGTTCAAAGCCAGTCCAGGCATAGCTGGCACGAGACCCTATGTGAAAAACCAGCTAAAAGCAGAAGAGCTGGGGCGTGACTCAACTGGTAGAGCACCTGCCTAGCAAGCTCAAGACCCTGTGTTTAATCGTCAGTACCACAAAAATACGTGCATGCACACATGCGTGCATCTATATGCATGTGCATGCAATCCTGCACACCTGTGCGCACACACACGCCTGCGTGCACACACAGAAATGCATGTGCATACATATGTGCATGTGCATGGACATACAGAGCACATGTGTGCAAAGTGCACACGTGTGTGTGCGAACCTTCTCATATGCATGCACGTGTGCACACTGCATGTGCATACATGTGCACAGACGTGCTGGTGCATCCCATGTGCAGGTGTGCATGCATAAGGATGTGTGCCTGCACAGTGTATACATACATGCATACAAAGTGCACACGTGCACCTGAGCATGCCACAGGCTGCACATGTGGGACAAGTTCCACCCTCCAAACACACATACTATCTGCTTAATCATCACCCCAGCAGAGTCAGCGGTCCATGGAAGCAGGGACCTGGACTTTCTGTTCACTACCAGGTGTCCTGGGGCCAGGACAGGGCACAGCACACACAAGCTCCTCAGGAAATATTTGGCAATGGAGGGAACAGAGTGGCCGAGCAGGGAACACTGGGGCGTCCCCTCTCCACACCCCACCTGAGTCACATTTTCAGATGCCTCTGGAAAGTGTGACAGACCGCACAGCAAGAGTGAGAGTTAGAAGGGGCAGGGGCCCAGTGGGGGACAGGAAGAAGAGGAGGGCCTGTGGGGGAAGGGGAGGGGCTGAGCCCCATTCTAAAGGCGGCTGTGGCCACAGTTGCCTTTGCAGTGTGCAAAGCCCAGCGTATTGGGCAATTGTGGTTTCCTCTGAGAAACTCAGGAGTGCCTGCCCTGCCCTGGGCATCTTGGAGCCTCGTCTTCTCGGGCATGGAGGAGACAGTCGTGAGGCCCTCAGTGTTTGTGGTGGATGGACAGACGGACATCCCCTTCAGGAGACTGGAACAAAGCCACAGGAGACAGCGCTGTAGTGCTGCCCATATCTGCCTGGCTCTCCTGCTACTGCTCATGGGCACCGGGTTGGCTGTCCAAGGCTGGTTCCTACTGCAGCTACGCCAGCATCTGGGGGAGCTGGCCGCACGCCTGCCGGTGAGTGTGGCCTGGGGGCAGCTGAGGGTGAGCAGCTGTGTCACTGTGTGTCCCTGGGTGTCTGTGCATGGGTGTACATGACAGAGAGTATCAAGCTTGAACCTGAGTTTGCTGCTTCCAGCCTAGGGCAAGTTAATGGTCCATGCTAAGCCTCAGTTTTCTCATCTGTAAAATAGGAATGACTTTAAGAGAGGCTACTTCCCCAAGAATCAATTATGATTTGGGGTGTTGGTGTTTGTGTGTGCGGTGCCCAGCAGTGGCTGGCACACAGCCCAGGCTTAGTCGATCAGAAGGGACATTCCAACATCGCTATTATTTATTATTAGCCGTACCTCTGTCACTGTTATTGGCAGTCTTGCTAATCTTCTTTGATTCAAAATCGGGGGAAATTGCTCAATCTGTTTCCACTTGGCTGTGAATGTGTCTGTCTGTGTGGCATACTTGTGGTCTCCATGTTCAACGCATGACCTTCTGGGTCCTGGATCTCTGTCTTTTCTCTTTGTATTGGATCTTGTGCACATGTCCGTAGCCACACACCCACGTGGACATATGCTGCTGTCCTGTATACAAATGCCTGCAAACCTGTGTACATGCCTGTCTGAAAACTGAGTCATTGTCTTTGAATCTCTGAGTCTACATATACAATATGTGCCCAGGTCCCCAAGTCCACGTGTGCCTCCTCAGTGTGTCCATAAAAGCTGTACTCATCCAACCCCGTGTCAAGCCAGGTTGATATCCATGTGTCCAGCCTTGCAGATATCCATGTAATTTTAAGAGAGATTGAGCATCTCTAATAGACAATCTTAAATCCTAAATGCTTTAAAATCTGAGATCTTTTTGAGCACTGACATGATGCTCAAAAAGTTTCAGGTTGCTAGGGGCTAGTGGCTCACACCTATATTCCTAGCTACTCAGGAGACAGAGATCAGGAAGATCGTTGTTTGAAGCCAGCCCTGGGAAATAGTTCTTCAGACCCTATGTCAAAAAATCTCATCACAAAAAAGAGCTGGTAAAGTGACTTAAGGGGTAGAGTGCCTGCCTAGCAAGTATGAGGCTCTGAATTCAAACCCCAGTACCACCAAAAAAAAAGTTTCAGGTTTTAGCCAGGTGCTAGTGGCTTTGCCTGTAATCCTAGCCACTCTGGAGGCTGAGATCACAAGGATTGCAGTTTGAGGCCAGCCCAATCACACACCCATTTCCAAAATAACCAGAGCAAAAGAGACTGGAGGTGTGGCTCAGGTGGGAGAGCACCTGCTTGGTAAATGTGAAGCCCTGAGTTTGAATCCCAGTCCCACCAAAAAAGTTTCATATTTTGGGCCATTTTGGATTTTCTGATGAAGGATGCTCAAGTGATAAAAATCTATATGAATATTCCAAAGCCCCTCAAACAAATCTGAAACATTTCTGGCACCAAACATTTCAGATACTCACCTGAATTACTTATTTAAACATTCTATGCTCCACACACTCTAATACACTCTACCCACATTAATTCATCTGATCCTAGGCTGTTTGTAAATGCATTTACAGAGAAGGAAAGGGGACGATTCAGCAGCTGCTGTGCCATGTGTGCTTGTGTGTGTGCACATGGTCCTGTGTACATGTCTTAGGGTGCTGGCTGTGGCTGTGGGTCTCCCTGTGTCATTGCCATGTGTCTCAATGATGCCTGGGTGTGGCAGGTCCTCACCATGAGTCCTTGTACATTTTAGGACCAAGACTCAGAGCAAGACTGGAAGAAGCTGATGCAAGGTGAGTCAGGGCCTGGTGCCCAGCAAGGACGGGGGTGGTTCCCATGCTGCCCCCCCCATTGCTCAACATGATTTGCAGAATTGGCCCAAGCCCCACAGGTGCCCCCCCCAGTCCTGAGAAGCAGAAGTGTGGGTCACCCCGGAAGTGATGTGGTTGACCTCCAAGAGGCTGACCCTCAACCTTTGCTGCCTTTGCCTCTAACCTCTGACCCTCTCTCCTCAGAGCGGAGATCCCCCAGGTCCAGCCCAGCGGCACACCTGACAGGTGAGGGGGGCCTTGGGTCTGGACATGCACAGAAGGGGTGCGGGGGGTCAGATATGCCTTCATTCACTCACTCAATGTGTATTCCCAGAGTTCCCCGAGCACAGGCTCTGGGGGCTGTGTAATGTCATCCCTCCTGCAACCCTTAGGAGTGCCTCAAACCACGAGTCACACCAAACCTTGTGCATGTTATGCTCTTTCCTATGCTTACCTACCTGTGATAGTTTAACTGATAAGTTAGGCACAGTAAGAGTTTCACAATAACTAACTAGAAAGTACAGCCATATACTGTAATAAAAGCCATTTCAAACATGAATTGTTTGTTTCTGGAATTTTCCATTTACTATCTTTGAATCACAGTTGACCACAGAAAGTGATAAAAGGGCACCTATGTGTTTCTAATTTTATTTATTTATCTTTGATTTGGTTTGGTTTTTGTTTTTTTGAGGCAGGGTTTCACTGTGTATCCCGGGCTGGTCTCAAACTCGAGATCCTCTGCCTCAGCCTCCCGGATACTGGGCTTATGTGGACCAACAAGCCTGGCACACCTCCTATGTGCTTCTGCGTACTGCCATGTAACATATATGAACTTCTTTAGATCCAAAGCAAGTAATATTGACATTTGCATTTTACAGAGACGGAAACTGAGGCACAGAGCTGTTACATGGCTATAGGAGCCAGGGTGTGTTCTGCCTTGATCCCTTGGTTATTCTATTCAAAAATATTGATATTTTTGATCTATCACTTAATTGCTCTTTGCCTCAGTTTCCCCCATCTGCAAAGCAAGAATGAACTCAGTTACTCTTATATACACAACCTAACTCAGAGGCAAAAGGGTATGTGGTAACACAGCCAGAGTGGGACGTGTGCTGACCCCAGTTTTCTCTCTCTCTCTCTCTCTTTCTCCCCCCAGGGGCCAACGCCAGCTTGAAGAGCAGTGGGGGCCCTCTGCTGTGGGAGACACAGCTGGGCCTGGCCTTCCTGAGGGGCCTCAGCTATCGCAACGGGGCCCTGGTGACCACCAAGACTGGCTACTATTACGTCTACTCCAAGGTGCAGCTGGGTGGCCTGGGCTGCCCCCAGAGGCTGGCCAATGGCCTTCCCGTCACCCACGGGCTGTACAAGCGAACGCCCCGCTACCCTGAGGAGCTGGAGCTGCTTGTCAGTCGGCGGTCACCCTGTACACGGGCAAACAGCTCCCGCGTGTGGTGGGACAGCAGCTTCCTGGGTGGCGTGGTGCACCTGGAGGCTGGGGAGGAGGTGGTCGTCCGTGTTCCAAATGAGCGCCTTGTCCAACTCCACGATGGCACCCGGTCCTATTTTGGGGCTTTCATGGTGTGATGGAAATAGGGACAAAGGAAGGAAAGGGGATCTGACTTGCAGAGACCTCAGAGGGACAGAAAATCCCCCAGGGGACAGAAAATCCAGCAAGCAGAGATCTTGAAAAATGACCCCCTTGGTGAACTCCAAACTCAGCAGGTGGAGGACTCAGTGGACATCTAGGGACCAAGATCTCAGCCACCCTGAGAGGTTGGAATCCAGCATGCCCTTCCAGAGGATGGATCACAGACCTTTCACAGACAATACTAAAGACAAAGGCCTGGAGACTTGGGGTTCTGTGTGCCCCCAAGTGTGGGGCATAGCTGATTTGCCTGATATTCAGGAAGAAGGGATGAAGGTTGGGTATTTATACTTTCAATGTGGGAGACAGTGGGACTTGGAATTCCAGGGATTTGGACAGAGAAACTGCATCACCACCTCACCATTGTCATAGGGTGGCCAGGGGACATCTCTCACAAAGACCATGTGGAGAACCCAACCTGGCTCCACATACAGTCATTGTGGCATCCTTTGGTTTCACCCACGGACTTGTGTTGGCCAGTTGCCATGGTGTAAATAGTCCCGTCATGGCAGATTTTTACCAAGAACGTATCTAGAGGCTGACTGTGTCCCACCACTGCTAAGCCCACACATTCTACGTGGCTATGACCTCAGCACTCAGCCCAGTGTGTGTTTTATGACAGGCACTCAGGAAATGCTTCCTGATGAAAAGAAAGGAGAAACAGACCCATGGCAGCATGTGAGAGTGCATCTCATGGTTCCACGATGGAAGTCTTTCTCATTCACGACAGAATCACACATACAAACATATGACATGCCTAGCTGCACACACATAAGACATGGATGACACGGACTGCATCATGAGTGGTCTCACAATGACACTGCATGACAGCCACATGCATACACGACTCACAGACAGCATCACGACACACAGCCACCTACATGTCACTGTCACAGTTAGTAATTCTCAGCACATTGGACTTCCACGCGTCATGTCACTGCCAGACCTGGTTACCCACACCACATCACAATCACACACACACACACACACACACACACACACACACAGCCTGAGGTTCCTTCCTGGCCAAGGCTGTCGCACCCTGGGGTTAGAACCAGATCTTGTTGATAGCCTGGGCACTTTGACCAACTGGTCTTGGAAATAAAAATGGCAAATAACCACATCTGGGTCCATCTAGTTCTTAAGGGGAGACATGGGTGAGAGAAAGTAGGATGTGGTGGACAGGACCAGAAAGTCCCATGTGGAACAGGGACGTGGGAAAGGGCAATGGTTGGCAATGGGAGGGTAGGGACTCAGAGAGGCAGAAGGGTGGACATAATGACCCACGAAAGTCATGGCCGTGGAGGAGCCTAAATGAAAGCTGGCCAGACTCCATGCAGGAAACAGACCTGTGCCTGGGTCTGCTGTGCCCCAAATCCACGTGTCCTGAGGGATCAGAGTTTTTGTCCTACAAGGGACCTTATGGAATGTTTCCAGAACATAGTGAAGCCTGGAGTAAGTGGGAGCATGGGAAGAGTGGGACAGGAAGATAATAAAAATATGCACTCAAATCTCATGGGTATGCAAATGATTGTTATGCAAATTAGCACCATGCAAATGAGCATTGCCCCCTGTGGCTGGAAGGTCTTCATTCCTAGGATCAGAGGTAAATGAATTGTTATTATTGTCACTGTCCTTGTCACAACATACAGCGTTCCTGGGTCTCAAGTCCCCCTGCCACTTACTGGCTAAGTGACGTTAAGCAAGTCCTACCACTTCTCAGTGCCTCAGTTTCCCCATCTGTCAAATGGAAGAAGGGAGACAACAGTCCTAGCTTCCCAGGCTTGGTTGTAAAGATTAAGTCAGATATGCTGAAATAATGGTTTGCTGTTATTTCTGGTATACAGTCAGAGCTCAGTAAGTGTGCAGGTGCCATAGACATTTAGACATAGTAAGCAAGAACAACATGGGGGGGGCATATTTTGAGAGGGGGCTCTCTCTGTGTTACCCAGGCTGATCTTGAATGCTTAGGCTCAGCGATCCCCCTGCCTCAGCCTCCCAGGTAACTGGGAAAACATACATGTGCCATTGTCCCCAGCTTACATCTATATGTACACACCTAAGCCCTGGGCAGGAGGCGTGATGCCACCACCCTCAGAGGCTGTCACCTGAGACAGAGAGCCCCCTTCCACCGGGGCTCACAGTGAATCCAGAGATGTTCCAACCTCCTCATGCTAGCTGGGCTGGTGGGAGGTGGAAGGCCCCCAAAGCCCAGTCCCACCACCCCCTGGAGTTTCCTTTGTGCTCATCATGGTCTTTCTGTTTCCTCGGCTTTGATGAGGAGACCAAGGTGTGGGGACAGTGTATTTATAAAAGCTACCAGCAGCCACCAACTTCCGCTGGGGATGGAACCTCTTGCTAAGTTTAGTCTCCAGAAAGATTTGCAGCCTTGAAGTGGAGAGAGAGGAAGGGGCAGGGAGGAGGCGGAAAGAAGGTGGGAGAGGTGTAGAAAGAAGGGAAGGGGCAAAAGAAGGAGGAGGCGGAGAAAGGAGGAAATAGAAAGGAAAAAGAGGGAGAGAGACAGAGGGGAGAGATGGGAGGGACACAAAGAAAGTCCAGGAGGGGCAGACGCTGACGCTGGAGCCTCAGACCTGACTTGACTTCAGATAAAGTTTAGGGGAGGAAACCCCTGGCCCAGGCCACTGACCTACTTCTGTGATTCTGAGAACTCTATCTGCTCTGTTTCCTCTTTCATCTGCGGGCTGCCCCATCAACTCTTCCTTAGGACCTGAGTTCACCCTGGGCAGGAAACCCTCCCCCTTCTCTTCATTTTTTGCCAAGACCCAGAGCTGGGAGAAATAAAACTAATGAAGACAAAACGAATTATTAATTTCATCTGACCCTAGGCTCTGCCTGCTGACCTCCACTTCAGTCAAATACTTAAGATACAACATCGCAGAAGAACAGGACAGTTCTTATGATGGAGCCAGACTCCTGAGTTCAAATCCCTGCTCTGTCACTTCCCAGCTGGGTGACCTTGGGATCCATTCTTGGCTTCTTTAGGCCTCAGTTCCCTCCTCTGTATTGTTTGATAAAGAATTCTCTACCTCATCCTGGTTATTGTGAGATTAAATGACTTGAACCTTGAAGTACTCTGGGAGAGCTTGTCCCATGAGCTCTTTAATCCTTTGTAGCTATTCTTTTTATAAGCATAGTTATTGCTATTGTTGCTTGACTTTTAGGGGGAGAGGTTTTTTTTTTTTGTCTTTTCTTTTTTGGTGCTGGGATCGAACCCAGGGCCTCACACATGCTAGGCAAGTGCTGTACCACCAAGCTACATCCCAGCCCATGTTGCTTGACTTTTAATGGATCAGGTTCCAGTAAACCCACCACAAAACTGAAAATAAATAAGTCAAAATTCATTCAGTGAGCCAGGCACATTGCTCACACCTGTGATCCTGGCTACTCAGGAAGCAGTGACGAGGAAGATCATAGTTCGAGACCAGGCTGGACAAAAGTTAGTGAGACCCCATCTCAACAAGAGCAAGCTGGACCCACCTGTGATCCCAGCTATGCAGGAGGCATAGGTAGGAGGATCGTGGTCCAGGCCAGCTCAGGCCCACACTCTATCTGGAAAATAACCAGAGCGAAAAAGGGATGGAGGCATGGCTTAGTGGTAGAGCACCTGCTTAGCAGGTGCAAAGCCTGTGCGTTCAGGTCCCACATTCCCAGACAGGGATTCAGGAGAAGGGTTCTGCAGGATCTTTAGGTGGGGCAGAGTGGTCAAGTGGTACAGCAGTTACCTGTAAACACAAGGCTCTCAGTTCAAACCCCAGTGCTGCCAAAAAAATGTTGACAGAGAAAGGAGAAGGAGAACAAAAAGGAGAAGGAGGAAGAGGAGGAGGAGGAGGAGAAAAGAGGGGACAGATGAGAGAAGAGGAAGAAGGAGGAGGAGGAGGAAAAGAAGTAAGAGGAGAGGAGAAGAAAGAAGAGAAGATGAGAAGAAAAGAGAGAGGCAGAGAGAGAGAACTCTGTGGTCTGACACTATAGAAGGCTGTGTGAGGATCAGGAAGGGGTGTCCTGCATGTAAAGCTGCAAGATAAGATGGTAAGAGTCACAGGAACATACACGGCAGGACAGAGAGTGCAATGTTAGGAAGACAATCTGTGGTGTCACAATGGGCAACAGGGAAACTCCACTGCTAACCCCAAAGGAGCAGCACTTAACCAATGGTGCTGGGAGTTGTCACGTAAATACCCAGCCTCAACCCCAAGGCATGGTCTCCAGAGGGAGTGAGCCCCAGCTGCCCATGGTGGCCATCTTTCCATGAACACACCCTAGGCTGGCTCCTTCCCTTACCCCATCTTGCATTTGTGTAATCAACTGCAGTGGAAAGACCCAGTAATTCCCAACACCCTGGCATCAATGCCTTTGTATAATATCTTCCCCTTAATTGTGGGCGGAATCTGACTTCTAACCAACAGAAGACAGCAAAGATGAGATGTCACTCCTGGATTAAGTGACTCTGCTCTAGCAGACTGGAGCGAGAGGCTACCCTGATGGCCTGAGGAAGCACACTCCCATGAGGTAAACCATCTATTAGAAGTCCACACGGTGAGGACAGACAGGCAGCCTACAGCCTACAGCCAACGGAGCTGAAATCTGCCACCAGCCAGGTGAGGACTTGGAGGAGGACCTCAAGAAGCTGGGCTTCAGAAGGAAATGCCACCCAGCTGTCACCTGGATTGGAGTTCTGTGAGATTCAGGACAGAAGACGAGCTAAACTACACCTGAACTCCTGCCCTGAGGGACTGAGGTCGTAAGGGATGCATGTTGCTGTAAGTTGCCAGATTTGTGGTAATTTGCTAGCCAGCAATAGTTAACTTACACCACCTCCCCCATAAGTCCCTTGTCCCCAAGTCCTTTTCTCACTCTCTGCTTCTGGGAGAACCCAAACTAGGTCCCAATTGCAGCATCCATGAACCTCGGTCTACAAAGGATGCAACCGGTTTCACTTTCTTGGTTTCATTAATAATGCAACTTGATTTACATTTGAAGGTGCGGGGTGCTGAGGACTTAATATCATCCACTCAGGAGCCATCACCTCTACGCCTGCCTTCCTCAGCTAGAGCGTAGGAAGTGCTGAGTCATTTTGAACCACCTTTCTCAGGTCACATGTCTGTGCAAGTCAATCTGCTCCATTCTCGTCCTTGTCACCCGTCAATAGTGGCAGGTTTCTGCTACCCTGAGCCTTGCTCCTGAAGCTGGTTCTGGCCAAGTTAAGGCACAGGAAGCTCTCTGAGCTGCCTGTGGTTTCGAGTGCCCAGAGATACCATTTAGTCATTTCCTTCTGGGGGACCTGAACCCTCCCCTGTCTCAGTCTTAGAGAGCAAAGTCCAAGTCACTTCTGTCTTTGACTTTCCCTTCAACTCCTCTGGGGGAATTTCCATGTGTCCAGGGCTTGGCAAGGCCCAGGAACTCCCCTCCCCGTTATGGGCTGAATTGTGCACACACACACCCCAAATTCATCCGTGGGATGCTTGATCCCCAGTGTATCAAAATGTGACTGTTTTTTAAGACAGAGTCTTTAATAAGGTCAGTTCAGGTAGAGTGGTGTCATTAGGGTGGCCCCTAATCCAATGTGACTGTGTCCTTATAAGAAGGGGTCAGGACACAGACACACAGAGGGACAGGAGGAAGAAGACAGCCATCCACAAGGCAAAGAGAGAGGTCTCAGAAGAAATCCGCCCTCCCAACCCCTTCACCTCAGATTTCTGGACTGTGAGGATATACACTTCAGTTGCTTAAGCCACACAGACTGTGACACTTTGTCATGGAGCCTCTTGAGGAGTGCACTTCCTTACACCTGTGCCCTTTTCACCAGTCCTGGGTGACCTTGTTCCTGGCTCGGGGGTTGGGTGGGGTGAGGCATTGAACATGGGATCCTTATGCAAGAGGGAAGGCAGGAGAGGCAGGGTCACA